GCTCTTCGTTCTGAATCAAGATATTACTAATGTCAATATTTAAAAAGATAAGCAACGTTTCAAGAGAGAGTATTTGTTACTATTCGACTATTTGAATTGAATTAAACTAATTGATTTTAACTTGCAATTAGAAGTTAAAAATTGAAATAGCATTTTGCCCGCCTCTGTGTGTAAATCAAATGACGTCGGTGGATCGCGAACGCAACGATTTAGTGTGATTGGTAGGATAAAGTTAGTGGCGCGATTATTGTTCCGATCGCATAATCCAGTATTTTCTAAATTTCGTTTAATATTTGTTTTCAAGCAGAGAGATTCCAATCATTATGATTAAATTAATATGAAATTATCTTTTATTTTTGAAAACGTTAAAACGTGTGCTGTATAATTTCGAAGAATTATTGCCTCGAAATCCTTAAATTGTGATATCTGAAGTAATTAATATGTTATTATTAAATATGAACGCGTGTGTCGAAGACTTCGATATGTTATATTACGTATATTATAAAAAATATGTGAATTAAAAGAGAATTGGAATTAATTCCGAGAAATTTTATTACTGTAGTGTATTGGACACATGTCAGAGAATGTCTTTACAATAATTTCTTTCCATTTTATTATCTACTTTTATTATCTACTTTTTATTCTCACACAGAATATTGAAATACAATCAAGAGTTAAAGAAACGTGAATTCTCTTCGACACATTTTAACCCATCTATTTTTATTGCCACATATGCTCAAGCGAGAAGCGATGTGCGAGTTTTAATATCGCGGTAACGGAAAAGAATGCCTTCTTTTTCACTTTGATTTTATAGTTACCCGCTACTTGTGTAGTACTATTTTAGCATAGGTCGTTTTATTCGTCAGACGACTTACCAGAGTAGAGCAGAATAGAAATCGAAGAAGAGGGGCCGGATGAAGCGAGATAGCGTAATTCCGAGGATCATAACCGATCATCAACGTAACGAATCCTTACGAGCTTCAGTCTCATCTGGATGAAAACCTGAGAAGCAAAATGAAAAGTTATAGTGATCATGTCTATCATGATGATAATCGTAAAGAATCCTCGCGCAAACTTTGTTACGCGCGATCCAGTGAAAACTGAGTGAAGCAAAGATGCAGGATTTGTAATACATGTGTAGGTGCCATATAACAGAGACGGGCTTGTTTCGAGTTGTGTTTGCTCGATTGATCGGAAATCAATTTAAAATGCTATACTCCGAAAATATGTATACAATTGAATTTCTGTTCAAGATTTCTTTGTACATTGTATGTTAAAACTAATATTGAGTTGAAATTTAGCAATAATTTTTAAAAGAATTATTTTTATCCTGCCTTATTGAATGAGACATTTAAATGAGAAGCAGCTTCTTAGAAAAAAATTAGTATATGATAAATGTGTCACTATATACTTGACTTATTTAATAATTTAAAATTTTTCTAACGAATTTCTATATACGCGCACAAGAACAATAAAAACATTCAGATGTTCCCATTTCAATGTTTCATTTCTTATGGAAGAGAATAAAAATATTATGTTCTTAAAAAAACGTTAAATTCTATCGCATGTAATCTGTTTTATTAATACTATCAATTAAGAGTTTATATAAAAATATAGGCTTTGTAGCTCATGTTAAACATGTTTAACGGTAGCATAATAAGTAACCTATCTATTCATTAGATCGCTCTAAACAATTCATATATGGTGAATTCAAGGAAATGTATTGATTTATAATATAAATAATCGCGCGCCCGTCTCTGACGTATGAGTTTATAACAATGGGAGTGATGTAAGAGAAAAATTAAGAAAAAATAAAGAAAGAATTACTTCTTTACTTTCTTCTTTTAATAATAAGACCGAAAATAATTGTACATCGCTCTCATTCTGGTTGACTCATAAAATCGCTGCGCAAGAGCAGCTGTTGTTCGAACGAATTCGATATTGTTGTTGTATAATGTAATGATCACGATTCGTTTTATCGAGAACGCGAAACGTGGCTAAAAACCGATGTCGATTGTAATAAAGAACGGTGTTCGCGTTAACTACTCGTATCTTTTCTTGTATTGAGGACAACACTCGGCAATGTTCGCGAGTTTAGAATGCGAATTTCACTAATTAATATTTACCTCCATAAGAAAAAGAGTGCCGAGCAATGTAACATAAAAAAAGAAATGTTTCAGAAATGTATAAAAAATATACTTCCAATCGTTTCATCCTTTCATCCTTTAAACATTTGTAAATGGTACCTCGACATTTGTGTTCTCACTGTCGTACAAATTCGAACAACAATACTAATTTATAAGCGATTTTTATACAATTGTTACATGAATTTTGTAATCGTATGGGAAATACTCTGTTTGCATATAAACTTTAATCACTTGTCTTTTTGAATCACTTCTTCCGAAATAGTAAGTAATATAACGCACTATCGATTAACACAGACTCCGCTGTATTCCGCTCAATGTCTCAAACTATACGTGATGTAGATATTAGAGGAATCAGAGATTTCACATTCGGTAGAATGCGGCAACAAAGAATGCACCATTAAATATATGCTAATTTAATTAGATAACAATTATTGAAAGAACACAAATATGTATGCAGAAAATAGAAATATTTTTTATAATATTATGTATTTTTTTATGATTTTTCTCTCCTGACATATACATTTCAGCATTAAAACTATTTTTAAGTTATGCTATGAAAATTATCTGTATGCATTAAAGCATATAACAAAAAAACTTTTAAAATAAATATCGAAAAACTGTCAGTATTTCGAATGAACAATAGAAATATTGAATATCAACGTGTTCTGACGTATGCGAGCTTTCTGGTTCACTTGAAACGATGAGATTATTGTCCTTTCGATAAAATCAACGATCAAACATGTTTGAATGACTCGACGAGTCGGAGCTCTATTTCTAATCTAAATTTTACAATACTTTGTAAGTTAATAATATAGCGAGAAAAATTCATGATTCGCGCGCGCGCGCGCGCGTGCATACGCGAATAATGATTAATAAATAATAAAGAAATAAGTATAAAAAAGGGAATAAAAGACAGTGGCGGTAGTTGCGCGCCAAAATCAGAGATTCCGTATTTTGTCAGATAACTATAATTATTATATTGCCAGTGTAACATAAGACTTTGATATGTATTGTTAGTATGCGTCGTGGATATTACAGAAGAATGAAGATAAATATAAAACGTACATCGTACACGCACACACATACAATATACGAGCATACGCGTATGTATACGTGTGTTTGTGTAAAAGAAGGATAACTTAAGATATACAATATATAAGCATAATTTCAAAAATAACTTTTAATATAGATTTACTTGTGTAAAATATA